ACGTAATTCTTAAGATATTGCTGGGCTTTGGAGAGCAGAGAAGGTTCTTAGTTCCTACTGCCTTTTACTAACAAGGCACAAATAAAGGAGTGAAGCAGCAGGAACACACAGGGAAGAGGAAGCAGAAGAAAAGTGGGCCAGGCCTGATCTGTGCACAACACGCAAAAGACAAAGAACGCCGGCGCCAGGGGCTCGTTCCAGTGCTGGCGCCAGTATCACAGTGCTGTTCCCGCAAGCCCCTCCTCTGGACATGTAAGTTTACAGAACTGATCTTCAAATTCCAGTAATAAACAAGAACCTTCACCTGGAGCTAACGTGATCTCAATGAAAGCATTCCCAGCACCCTGGCAAAAGCAAAGACAGACCTTCTGAGAGAAACCGGGATTAACAAATATTCAATCAGGCTCGGCGCCTGTGGCTCAAGTGGCTAAGGCACTAGCCACGTACACCTAATGTGACGGGTTCAAATCCAGCCCAGGCGCACCAAAACAACAATAACGGCTGCAACCAAAAAATAGCCGGGCGTTGTGGCCGGCGCCTGTGGTCCCAGTTACTTGGAAGGCTGAGGCAGGAGACTCGCTTGAGCCCAGGAGTTGGAGGTTGCTATGAGCTGTGATGCCACGGCACTCTACCCAGGGGGACAGCTTGAGGCTCTGTCTCAAAAAAAAAAAAAAAAAAACATTCAATCTATAGTCAGTTAATACTGATCTCAAAATCAAGTATAAGAAAACATGCAAGAAAAGCCACCAAGAATGAGCAAGAGGCAAAATGACAAGTTTAGACACCTGAAGACTTTAGATATTACAATTATCAGATACAAAACAGGAAATTTATAGTGAATGTTTAGGAAAACAAAAGACATCTAAAAGTGAACCAGACAGTCGGCAGCCCCAGCCACAGACGGAACCAAACCAAACGAGCTGCTAAGAGGGAAGATAAAGCCCTGAAATGTGCAGCTCAGTAAAGCGTTAAGCAGGTGAGGCCCAATTGAAGAAATTCAGGGAACCAAAAGAAAGAACTGAAGGGATTTCCAAAATGCAACACAAACAGCTTGGAGGAGGAGAAAACAAAAGCAAGGTCAAAGACAGGAACAACAGATAGAGAAACTGACATAAGAATCCTAGACAGGATGGCCAGAAAGAATACAAACGCTTTGCTATGTCAGAAGACAACAGTGAGAATTTTACAGGAATGATGAACCATGAACACAGGGGCAGAGGAACCACACACAGACCAAGCGAGAGAAGAGAAGCGCAGCCTGGCATTCTGTGGTCAGACTGCCAAACATCAAAGTCCAAGAAAAGGATAGAGAGAGGCCAAAAGAAAGACGGTTAAAGGAACTGCAGTTACAACAAAAACAGAAATTGCAACTGCTATGACCACAACTAGCGGGCAGTGGAGTGTGACACAGATGTTACTGCTGCTACGACTGATCTGTGGGACCCAACGGACAAAACTGTGGACAGTGAAGAGCAATCTAAGGGGACAAAGCCCAGAGACGGCCACCCTTCACGGAGATGCAGAATTTTTGCTAGTAAGTTTTAAAACTTTGGTGATAAGAACAAATTCTTAGAAGTCTTTACTCAATTAGAAAAAATATTCAACTTAACAAACCTGAATCAAGAAAATAAAAAACCAGGCTCAGTGCCCACAGCTCAGTGAGTAGGGCACCAGCCACCTACACAGAGGCTCATGGGTTCAAGCCCAGCTTGGGTCTGCTAAACAATGATAACTGCAACCAAAAAATAGCCGGGCGTTGTGGGATGCCTGTAATCCCAGCTACTTGGGAGGGTGAGGCAAGAGAATCACTTAAGCCCAAGAACTTGAGGATGCTGTGAGTTATGACATCACAGCCTCTACTGAGAGTGACACAGTGAGACTCTGTCTCAAAAGAAAAAAAAAAAA